TACCAACCACACTCACGTACTACATCTTGTATAGTACTGCCCTCGCCTACCATACGTTAGTTCTAATTATGATTGGCGCCAAAATCAAATTTAAATTGCCTTATTCTAACATTTCGATATTTTTGTAACGACCAAGATGGTGTTAACCCCTTAAACGACAGTGACAGAATATAAAGTGATGTAAGAGCGAACAATAACTGGCCACCTTTTTGAAATTTGACTCCTCAAGCATCACGGGTACCATATCCGATAAAGTTTTGGGTTTCAAGTACCGTCTCGGCAATCTGTACCGACGTTTATTAGCTCGCAAGACCCTAAATTTCGCTAAACGAGTGGGCTACGTCGAATCTCAGCCACGTTGCAACGGGTATTGAACCTGTAGGAATCGCGGACGAAGTGAATCCCTGCGCTTCGAGGAAAGAAAAAGTATAAAAGGGGTATCCTCTCAGGGACGCTTTTATCGGAAACGGATAATATCATCCGCGATATATGCGACAACGAACACAAGAAAAAAGTACCCGTGGCTCTCTGTGCCCTTTTTGTCCCTCGTGTCTTCCCGCGGACTCGTGTTCATTACGCTGGTTTTACGACAACATTTTTCTTCAGCCACGTCTTCTCTCGCGAGGACGGGTGTTGCGTCTCTTCGTCGTATTTTCGCTTACAAAATGCTCGATACACCGTGCGCCAGCGCATTTTTCTGACAGAAATTTATATTTCACCGCTGTTCCAATTCCTCTTTCGCCTCTCTTGTTTTGTATCGCCAATTCCGCCCGCGGAACTAATTAATTTCTCTGGTAATTAGTATCGCGCGCCGGCTGTAATCGAAGATGTTTGATTAATCATTTTTAAATAGCCGTAACAGCCAATTATAAAATCCCACCTTGTTACGTGCCACTCGAAAATAATTCGAGTCATTAATACGTGGACTTTACGATTTGAAAAGTAATAAAAGCGTTGGATAATTAGTTTCTGTGCCACTGGAATTGAAATTGTTTAAGTAATACTATTTCTGTTAAAGAAGTTTCGTTCGCTTTTTATTTTAATCTTAATCGAGAACAATTAATCGAGGCATCGAAGTCGGTGATCATAGATAAGAATGCTACATTCGATCGATCCAGTGCATAATAAAACGCTTTAGGAATACTGGGGCTACCGTTGGATTGGGCTTATTGTTAAAAGCAGCCAAGGCGCATTGTTCGAAGTTTTTCGATTAAAACTTCGTCGATGCAGATTTCTCTCGCTTTTGTCCCGTGGAACGTTCCTGGACGATCATTTACGTTTTTCCTGGCTTCGAAGATAAATTACGCGGTTCCGTTGCTACCAGAGTCTTGAAAAATAATTCTCGAATCGCATGCGTGGAAATAGACGCCAGTTTCGGCATTACGCGCAACAAAAATGAAAATTTCAACGATTCTGAAACAGTGAATATATGTAATTGTCTGTAGTAGAGATATATACATACAGGGTGTCCCAAAACTCGCGTACGAGCCGGAAATGAGAGGTAACTGAGACGATTCTGAACAACAATTTCCTTTGCAAAAATGTCGGTGGGAGCTTCATTTTTGAATTATTAACGAAAAACACCGACCAATCACAGCGCCCGATTAGCGCGCGATCAGTCGCGAGAGCATAAACTCGAGCTAAGATCGGCTGGTTGCGCCAGGTCGCTGCGTAGCCACCTGAACGCGCGCCAATCGGGCGCTGTGATTGGTCGGTGTTTTTCGTTAATAATTCAAAAATGAAGCCACCACCGACATCTTTGCAAAGGAAATTGTTGTTCAGAATCGTCTCAGCTACCCCCCCCATTTCCGTCTTCTACGAGAGTTTTGGGACACCCTGTATATGCGCCCTTCGTAATCAACGGATTAATGGTCGGTAGCGTATGACCAAAAATATGGATAACAGTAAAATTGTGTATCACACCGTATTAATCCAAATACTTCGGCTTGATTCAAGTTTGTTTCAAGTTGAAACCATCCGTTTGTTGCGGTACCAACCGAACTGTGTTTCGTAATCTCTTATTTTTCCGGTTCCAATAAAACGTTTCCGAGGAAACATCCTTTCCGTAGCGTTCGCCAGCGATCCCAACGCCACTAGATAAAATGAAAAACCATCCCCTTCGTTCCGTTCGCAGTTCCATTACGTTTTTATTTAGCGTCGCCGGTGCCCGCGATATCTCCTGCGCTTACCTGCTCGCGTATTTGAAACACACCGCACCCACACACAGTCCACCGGTGTTTTACCGTTAATTGCAACGACGGAGAAACCGCTGCGGATCTCGACCATAAAATACGTTTATCACCCCCTAAAGTCATGGCGCCGCCGCTGCCTCCACGGGACCCCATTAATACGCAAATTGCAAACCGCGAATTCCTCGAGACGACGCGACGTGGACTAATATGCAAATCGATATCGCTTCAGAAAGTCATTAGATGTTTCTGTTATTCCACACGAATGGGAAGGGCTATGAATGACGGGGAGTCTGTGATTCGCGCGTGACGGAAATTTATTCTTTACACTATGTGCGTTCCAGATTCCAGTTTTTAAGATGTGATGCATGTTTTCCTATTAGAAATATAAAGTTTTAATTAAAGTTTAAAGTTTTTCTATAGGTTGTGTAGTTATACGTTGCGAGTTATATGTATATTGTGAGGCGTGCTTTTGGAATAGGTATCAACAAAAATTCCAGTTAATGCGACTTTCATTACGACCGACTCCCGCTCAATCTGCTGAGCGACTGTCTGTTCGTCGCCGGTTGTCGATGACGCGAAACTCTTAAATGTTTTTAACACGTTGATCGCCACGTCACCCATATATGAATGACAGTGCTTTTCACTGAAAAACGATGCAAATTAATTCTGAAAGTTAAGCGTCACAAACAATAAATTTAAACGTGATACTTGAACTTTAACGAAGTTACCAAATTAAATACCACAACAAATGCTTCATTACGCAGTTTCCAATAGTCTGTAAACAAAATTTGATCACAGTAGAAACTTTCAAGAGTATTAGTCTGGCAGCGAACGTGTTAAACAAAAGAGTGACGATGCTCGTGTGTCGCCCACGAACGCTGACCAGCTAATTCTTATAATATCCTTTAAGTTTCTTTTTTCTTTCTAACTATTTTCCGGGTACGTATTTTCTTCATATTCTTCTTTTTCTTCTGATACGTTAGATTCTTTGTCTAGATCATAATCCAGATCAAAATAATAACCTAGATTACCCATCTGTATTAAATCTTGGCGCCCAAGCAAAACGGTTTGCCTGGCAGTGAATGTGTTAATGCGAAAGAAAATTTCAGTTTCCACGGATAGTTACGCACTGCTTCATAAATGAGCATGAACGAAAAGCTTCGGAGTCACGTTTCGGAGTCAAATATCAGGGAAAGGGACAAGGGATCGCTCGAGAAAAGGGCGAGAAGTCTGTTTTCGATTTCCGTCACGGGGAGTACCCGAGAAGTTTATAAAACCTACGTGCTGCATTTTGAACGTAACAAGCTGCCCTTTCAAACAGTCCTACAAAATCCAACCTAATCCCTTTCGCTGCAAGAAGAAATTGCTTATTCGTAACGTACAAGTTTCCACTACATTGTATAAAAATATGGTTATCACTATAACTTCTTACGTGATATTATAAAAAACAAAATTGTAAAATATCATTTATTTTAATAATCTGATGGAGGCCTGAAACCGATCGAAGCTCTATTATTTAATCTCTGACGAATATATCAATTATTCAATAAATTGCTGCTAAAATATTGACATTTTGCGCTGGCAACTGTATCACGAATTCACGTAATCAAACGGTATGAAGTGTTTCGACGCGAGATTCTGTACATATTTTAGAGACGTATAATAATACTAATAATAATAGTAATAATAGTAATGATTCTGTTCATTTTCATAGAAAATGGTGGCGACAGAGCCCGTCGTCGAAAACAGCTTTTTTGAAAACACCGCCACGGGAGGACGGATTTCTTGGCATCTATGAGTCATGGAATAAAAACTAAAGAAAATTTATAATCTATATACAATTGGCTTTGGAAGTACGTAGGGTTTTTCTTCTTAATCAATTTTTCTGGAAGTGACGCACTTTTTAACCGACCAAAGGAGGAGGTTACTCAATTCGACATGTATTTTTTTTTTTTTTTTTTTTTTTTTTTTTTTTTTTTTTTTTTTTTTTAAAGCAATGAATCGACTTTCTGCCCTAAAAATGAGCATTAAATTGTTTATAAAAAAAAAGTTTACATTCGATCAAAAAACGGCTACGTACTTCCGAAGAGAATATTGTTGTGAAGCTACTGTAAAAATTTCAAATCGATCCATGCAATAGTCACTGAGAAATCCGTCCTTCCAGTTTGAAAAAAGTGGTTTCGAGAAAAACGCGTTTAAAGTTTTCTAAACACTTAACCTTTTAACATTTGTTTTTCACTATAAATCAAATGACGTATTATTTTTATGACCCTAAAGTATCGTTTAAGTAAAAAAAAAAATCAAATCCTAGAGTGGTTTAACCCCTTAATTTTGGCCAACTAGATTGCTGAAATGCCCCTATGTAGCGGTGGCCACGGTGCGCGCGGCGTGAACATGTTAAGTCAATTGTTTTTGAAAGAAAAAAATGATGGAATATAGTTATGATTGTCATGCGTCCAAGGTCCCTTCCCCCTTAAGCCATCAACTTTCATTCGTATTTGTGTAATATGTTGTAAAAATTTTGAATGAATGTTAATGTTGAATGAATGTTAATTGTAATGTATTATAATGTGAACGTTGGATGAATGTTAATATTTAAAATCACTAGGTATGTTTATATCAGATACTATAGCGCACCAGCACAATAATTCTCAAACAAATCATATCGAAAGACACAAAGCGATCTGTCTAACCTCAGCGGTTCGTGGTTGCCAGACGCATATAGTTACCGATTACGAAAATGGCGTAGTATTATGTTAAATGGCTTGTGAAGATGGTCGATGCATCTTTTTGTCAACGCAAGAGTACGAGTGTGAAAGACGTGAGAAAGCTTCCTCTTTACATAGATTCGAACGGCCGGGGGTAGAACAAAGACAGGTGAAGAGGAAAGGAAAGATCGAAGATCTTCCGAGTCACAGCTCGACGAATGCGAGAAGGATGGCCAATCGGTGAAAAAGGTTCCAGCGAAAGACTGCCAGAGGGCGGAAAGGGAGGGACACAGAAGACGGAACGATAGACGGCAGATAAACAAGCGCGAGAGAGAGGGTAGACCAGATACGCACCAGAGCGGGACAAAGACGGAGACAAGAGATCGTGCTCGATGCTCGTCGGGCGAAGTTAGTTAGCAGTCGATGCGCACACGCCACGCGCTCCGGACGTACCGTCGTCTTGTTCCTCTTGTGTGTCCTGTTGTGTCTCGGTTCGCAGTTGGCCAGAATTTTACTTGAATAATAATAGATGACGCATAAAAACACTGTCGAGCATTTTCTTCGCATTCTACACGATCGAACAATTCTTTCAATATTTATCATTCATTCGTTCGACATCGAACAGAATTTCGGTTCGTGATTCGAATTGTGTTCTTTTTGTATCGCACTAGTAACACGTAAAATGCAGTCGAATTTTGATATCGTTTTTGGAAAATTTGTAACCAGACGAGAATTGTGCTCGTATCTGTCGATTCGTCAACGTGTCTGGTTCTAGTGGCAAGGAAATCTGTGGTTTCCGTTTCGAAAGTGAGTTTCCTCAAGCACAAACCCGAGTTGGAAGAAACTCGGTCGGCGCTAACCTCGATGGTACCTTCACGAGCATTCGTGGTGACAATAGTTTGAGAAGCAGTCGTCAGTGATGGTCGCGACGCTTCGATGAACTTGGATGCTTTGAAATTCGAGTGGCAGGTGTGCGTGATAAAGTTAAGTTTGTATCTACATTACCGAGGGATCCCAGTGATTTTGGGAAACACGTTACCGACGAGAATGGTCGTTTCGTCGTTTCGTCCCAAGTGTTCGAACGAAACGTAAACACGGACGGAGGGACTGGAGGACGCTGGAATATATTCTTGAGACACGAAGCAAGGTAAAAATTAAATTCCTCTGACCGCTTCGAACGTACCAACCAAGCTCGTACTTTGAAATTATTTGAAATTAACGACTATTCGAGAAGCACGTTTTTCCGGATGCGATGCAACGTTACACGATTAGGGTTAGGTTATAAAGCAGCGATTCGTCGGACCCCGCAATTTCACCTTGCTTTCTCTACTTCTTTACGTCATGCTTTTATCTTCTTGAACTAACAGTTCATTTTTTACTCGGTATCTATATATACCAATATTTTTGTAATTTAATTTTTACACAAATTTTGTTTGTATACCACTCGAAAACAGCTCGACATATTTCGATAAAGTAAGTCCACGTGTAGACATCTCTCCTATTTGAAGAATAGGGTAACTTATACCACGTATTTTAACGCAAGTGGCGTAAAAAGTTGTTAAATAAGAATGAAGTTTAAGAATAGTTAAAAAAGCATTCATAGTCGCAAAAGGAAAAGGAAAATTCAATTTTTTACTATCGGGACGTAGAAATAAGGACAGAGATCAATGCAAATATTATTTATATTATGTTCAGAAATGAATTCTATGCTTCTATTTTCAATCATTTATAACTTTGGTTGAAACAGATATATGATACACTAGCGTATCAACCTTCTAAGCCTTCAACCTGACCTCTACAGATAACCTAAATCTCCATCTGATGATCGTTACATGCAGTGTAATATTTTATTTATTAGTATTCTTCTACGATTACTAGAACTACTTGTTTACTTGCAATCTATGCATTTATGATACAAGTTAACCTCTTACACTATTTTCATAAGTCTGACTCGTGATGAAAATTTTAAGCCAAACTTGAAAATCACGAGACAGTCTCGTTGTTAAATTTAATGCGACTACTCGGGCGCACGGGTTTGCCACGGCTTTTTCCAAGTTTCAGCGTAGTGCAGAGTTAATATGACAAATACACGGTAAGCATAACCAAAAGTTACGTGCGTTCATACAAAACGAAATACTAAACTATTATATTAATTAATAGATTATACTCGAAATAAATTATGTGTTTTTTTTGTATGCTCTTCATATTTACGTCATACACGCATAAAATTCGCAATTTAATGTTAAGCAATATTTTATGCCTACTGAATACGTAAATAAATTGTAATGACCACCGGAAGACGAGAACTTAGAAAATTGGTACTTTAACGTAACAAAATGATGAGTAAATATTTCTACCAAAGCTATACTTGAAAACAAAAAATAAATAATAAATGTCTGAATATAAGGGCACAGAATTAATTTTTACACCAGATAATTGGCACATTAAACGGAACCGTTGAACCCGAATACCGTTGCGAACCAATCGGTTCAAGTGTTATGAATAAAATGTACAACGTAGTCGCATTAAATCGGTGAAATATGCGCACGCGACCGATGAATCGCGCTACGCTTCGTGCTCAATTTCCTTTCGATATTTTTCGTACGGTATTTGAATTTTAAAACCGCGCATGGGACGACGTGAACGGGTGGATCAATCATGGCTGCACGGTGGCAATGACAGGATGGCGTTTATTAATAACTTCGTGACAGAAGTGACGTGCCCGTTTGGACGAACGTCGAGCTTTCGTGTTTTTGCCGTGCAACGATAAATCACGCCGGGTTCGTTTGCCGGTAAGCCGAACCTCGGCTAATGAAACTTTTCTGCTTCCACTATTATATCGTACGTCGTACATGAGTCGAGCAGTGACTCACTCTTCACGGGCGTGTTCCGTGTTTTTTTTTTTTTTTTTTTTCTGCGGTTTGAAATAGTGCGACGAGATCGTAGGAAGGGTTATTATTGCATCCGCATTCTGTCCCATAGCGTCTCACCGTTCCAAACTTATGGCCGATGAACTTGCACGCGGAATTGAATATTTTTATTCCAAATACACCTAGACTAATATACAGGGTGTCTCAAAAATGTTGTCAGACCTTGAAAGGGGTGGTTCGGAAGGTGATTTGAAACAACTTTTTCCTTAGCGAAAATGTCCGACGCTTCGTTGAGGAGATATTAACAGGAAACGTCGACCAATCAGAGCGCGCGTTTACCGTTGGAGCGGCCGTGCTAGCGAAGGCTACGCGCTCAGCGGCCGCGGCAACTCCTTCGATGCACGTCGAATCACTTGTTCGCGTACGAGAGCGGCTACCTAGCGCGTAACCATCGCTATCGCGGCCGCTCCATCAGTATTCCCGCGCTCTGATTGGTCAGTGTTTTCCGTTAATATCTCCTCAACAAAGCCTCGGACAATATTTTCGCTAAGGAAAAAGTTGTTTCAAATCACCTTCACTCTGTATATACTGGGTGTCCCAAAAATGTTGTAACACCTTGAAAGAGGTGGTTCAGGGGGTGATTTGAAACAACTTTTTCCTTAGCGAAATTGTTGTCCGAGGCTTCGTTGAGGAGATATTAACGGAAAACACTGACCAATCAGAGCGCGCGTATACCGGTGGAGCGAAACCTACGCGCTAAACGGCCGTGCTCATACGCTATCACGGCCGCTCCATCAGTATACCCGCGCTCTGATTGGTCATTGTATTCCGTTAATATCTCCTCAACGAAGCCTCGGACAACATTTTCGCTAAGGAAAAAGTTGTTTCAAATCACCCCTTGAACCCACCTCTCTCAAGGTGTTACAACATTTTTGGGACG